TACTGTTGTTGGCCCTCCAGAGGAACTGGAGGGCCACTGTGTGAGACAGAATCCTGGACCAGATGATCAACTGGTCTGATGCAACAGGACTCTTCTCATTTTCTTATGACTGAAGGTATTAGAGACAGGGGACAGAATACGTGCCTTTTGGTGTACGAAGGTCCCTGCCACACGGGAAAAAAAAGTCGGGCAAAAGTGCGGCTTTTAAAAGCCGCACCAAATTAGGCACATTGTGGCGGGATCATACAGATCCCGTGAGCTGCCGCGCAATTGCACCCTGGCACGATCAGATGCCAGGGAGACCAGAGAGACAGCAACGGGAGGCTGCCAAACTACGCATGTCTGAGCGTGTGCAGTTCGGGCAGGAGCTGGGGATGCGCCGGCAGAAGGACGCGCCGGCGATCCCACGGCCGCGCTTGCCATGGCCGTTCCGGTAAGACCACCTCCGGAGGTGGTTTTTTGTTGATGCGGTTTTTCAGCCGAAAGGGCCGGATCAGGGACGGGCGCGCAACGTTTCCCAGATGTTGCGGTGGGATCGCACCCGTTTGCTGCGCCCCTGATCCATCCCTCTCCCGGCCCAAAACCTTTTGTGTGATCGGGGCCTTTATTGACAAAAGACAGCAAACCATGAAAAAGTGGTGCCTGCCACTATGGTTTTTTACCAGCTTGGTGACATGTTGTTTGATTCAAAGTCATTTCCAGATCACAGGCATTTCCAGATCACAGGCACAAGCAGAGTAATACCTGGCAAAAGGAGGTCAAAGCCAACACTGAAAACACTAATTAGAAAATACTGTTATAGATCCACTGAAGGACACAACAGCACCATTTGGGAGTATTTCTAGCTGCAGTGGAACGGGGAGGAAAGAAAATTGTTTGCTACACTTGTGGAAGTCCTTCTGTCCATAAAAGTGCTCTGGTGGATCCAAGTCATTGTTTTTTGGAAGTTACTCTTTTGGGACACAGAGGCTGTTTTGCCTCAAGTCATGATAGAGATCAGATTTAAACTAGGGATTTCAGATTTGTAACCAGCATTTTAGCCCTTCATTACACATACACTTTAAGACCAATCCTGCTTTCGTTGCTTATACATGGGTGCTGGCTCCAGGGATCAGGCTGCCAGTCTTCAATGGGTTATCTGTCATACTTATGAGTGTCAGATTTATATTCAAATGGAAAGCAGTTTCAAATGGAGAGCTCAGTTAAGTCATAACATTAGGAGAAAGGATAGAGAACTGTATTGCAATTCCTATTCATTATCTTGGCATCACATTGGTGAGTTCAAAATTATGGCATAACATACCGTGTTCAAAATCTCTTCTACAAAACATTTCCTGTGTATGTTTCAGATGATTTAAGAAATATTTAAATATTTCCAGATTATTTCTTATGTTCTCTTATTGAGTAATTACACTGCAGAATTCATTGCCAGGGTATGTAGTGACAGCCACAAGCATAGATGAGTTTATAAGCAGTTCAGATAGGTCCATTAGTGGCTACTAGCAAAGATAAGTAAAGGGAACCCATCTCCCCAGGCAGCAAACCTCTGAATACCAACAAAATTGGGGGAGAGCTTTGATTGCTATGGTCTGTTGGTTGGCCACTGTGTAAAACAGCATGCTGGAACAGACAGACCACTAGTCTGATCCACCAGGGCTCCTCTTACATATGATTATCAGACAGATCTCTGTAGCCTAATAACTTGGAAACATTATTTTACAAAAAAAATTCTATCATTTGCCTCCAAAAATTCATCAGTCTTGTTCATCAATTTTAGTACAAGACATACTCGTGTTGTTCTCCCACCTCACACCCCCTAAGCAGCATCTCTGAATGGTTCTTTCCTCAGATATCTTTTATGATTCCTCAGTCTACATTTTTACAACACTCTACTGTCCCAAGTTATAGAAATGCCATCTTTAGTA